TGGGATCCATCAGCTGTGGAGACCCTATCTCTGCCAGAATAGAGTTGGTAAGAAGAAAAAATAGTAGAGCTATGGGTCATGTGCTCTGAGGCTCCAGAATCTATAATGCAAGGAGGTGCCTCCTTACCTGAAGTAGAAACATAATTTGCAGTGACGTGTGAACTACCTGTGTGAGCAAAGGCAGTAGAGTGGACTCCACCAGTGCCACCTGTACCTTGTTGTCCGCTTGCTGCTGAACTGGAACTGGTTGTATCCCGTTGGTTCAAAAGTTGCCCATACCTCTCAAGTTCGGCCCTTACTGCAGCAGCTGCAACAGACTCCAAAGCAGCTGTAGTAGGAGGGGCCGGAATGTCACCAGTAACTGCCATGTGTGCATTTCCCTTCTTATTTTTCAGTCTAGTTGGCACAAGATGTAGGTGAAGCTTCTAGCAAGTATCTCTTGTGTGTTTAGTCTACTGCTCTCCTCCCCTGACACAAAGGCATATGCCTGGGAGAGAGTAACACTGTCCTTGGAAAGAAGATGTTGTCTTGCAATATCATACTCAGGATTAAGGCCAGCAAAAATTCTAACACCCTATACTTCTCTAGATGTTTCTGATAGGTAGTTGCATCCTTAGTGGATTCCCAAGAAAATGTCTCTAAATGGTCAATCTCCTGCCACAGGATTTTAAGGGCTGAAAAATAGGCTGCAACAGGTCTATCTCCATGCCTTGTAGAAATAATCTGATTTCTCAACTGATAAGCCCTAGCAACATTCTCCCTCTGTGAATAGGTTTCTACAACCCCATCCCATATTTCCTTAGCTGTATTTGCCCATAAAAAATTTTTACCTATATGGGGCAACATGGAATTACACAACCAAGTCATCACCTTATAATTTTCCCGTACCCATCGGGAGTTGCTAGTTTCGGGTTTCACTTCCTCACCAGTGATATACCCTAATTTTCCACGAGCACCAATGTTCATCTTTGCAGATTGTGACCATTCTAAGTAATTGGTACCATCCAACCTAACTATAGTGATGGTTCTAGTCCCGAAAAGGTCTCCAACACCTCCTCCCATTAGTCCCATTTCACTCCCATGCTTATTTTCAACTCCGTAACCCTCCATGCTTCTCAAAAAATGTAAAGAAAATAACTAAAATATGTAACAAGATCAAATGAAACACTTTTGGAACCAACAACACCTTTCTGGTGTCCTAGGCTGTCTTCCCACAAAAGATTCCTTTTCTGTGGGACGGGAGAAGAGAGAGAAGAGGCAGTCGCTCTCTCTAGAAGCCTCCAAATCAGGTAGGACTTGAACTGCCCCTTACAGAAAACTCCAAGGAACCCTAAAAAATTAGGGCGCCACTTCCTAGGTCAAAATTGAAGAGTCTAACAAAAACAGGACTTTTCCCCTTTCTCCAGTTTTTCCTGATTTTGATGAGAAACCCTAGACTAGTTACAGGGCACACAGATCCACCAAAAAATCCAAAAACAGGGCTTACCTGAGAACTTCGACCAGCCTCTTAAATCACCATGCAGTCGGTTGATCTAGGGCTGCATGAGGAAACAACTCAAGGAACCTTTGGCCTGCTCTGATACCAAGTAGAAATCATTGATTGTAGATTTAGTTGAATTTCTTGTGAAAGGAAAAGGGAAGGAAGATAAAGATTTCAGTAGTAGAGAAGAAAAGAGAGGGAGAAAAGAGTAGGAAGTCAACCAGGATTCTTGAATTAACCCTAGCCCCCCTCATTATATTTATACTTAACTTAAAGGATGAGATATTACAAGGATGCCCTTAGTAGGGCGGCTACTAATGTAGCTGAACAATCACAACTTAAAAACATAAACTAATGGGCCTAAAGCCCAACAACTTCCTAACTAAATAGCTTAAAATAAGAATAAAAAACAACTAGGCCCAACAAAACAACTCGGCCAGAAATTTCCTATGTAGTAAGTGTTATTAGTCAATTTATGCATTCTCCCAGAGATACTCATTTAGCTACTATAGAAAGGGTTCTGTGTTACTTGAAAGGTACTCCAGGGAAAGGTATTCTATTTGCCAAACATGGACACATGAAGCTGGAAGCTTTCACTGATGCTGATTGGGTAGGATGTATTGATGATAGGAGGAGTAAGAAACAGTTTGTAGTTGCTAGATCCTCAGCTGAAGCAGAATGCAGTGCAATGGCACATGGTGTGTCAGAATTACTGTGGCTACGATCCATTTTAGAAGAATCGGGGGTTGACTACGAAAAGCCAATGATGCTCTACTGTGACAACCAAGCAGCTATCAATATTGCACAAAATCCTGTTCAACATGACATCAGACGAAGTTTGTTTGCCATTCATCACATCAGACGAACAATTGGTTGATATCTTGACCAAGGGAGTTCCGAGAGGGAAAGTGACACACTATATAAGCAAGCTGGGCATGATTGACATCTATGCTCAGCTTGAGGAGGAGTGTAAAGAGACTGGGCCAAATGGGTCCTAGTATCTTCTCTTGTAATATCTTTTCTTTTTCTTGTTAGCTAATGGGCCTCTCTTAATGGGTCTGTTATTCCTTTTTGTTTGATCTCTTTATGTTACTACCTAGCTGGCCACCCACTTAAGGGCATACTTGTAATTACCTTAACATTAATTCTTAATAAAAAGGATTAGAGAAGAAAGGGAAGAATAATTCGAACCTTTCTTCTTCTTCCTCCTCTTTTCGCCATCTTCTTCTCTTGTACTGCTGCTCTTACTTTTCTTCTTCCTTTTTCTCTCTAATTTTCAAATTTACACCTAATTTTTGAGGACTGATTTACATCTTGCAGGCCTGAGCCAATCTCTCGAGCCAAACCCATCTGGATAAAAAGTTTACATATTCATAGATACCGTCCAATTAATTTGTTTTAGTATGATCTTCTCTTCAAACATATTATAGATGACTCTTTCCTTCTTATTTTTCTTTACGAAATATTTTTACCCTCTTCCTCAAGAAGCTTGCTAGACCAAACCTCTGTCTCTTTCTCTCTCTCTCTCTCTGTATTAACCATTGTTTCTCACTGTTATTCAGTGCTGTTCTTTTTCTTTTAGGCTCAGTTTGGGAAGAGTACAAATATAAATATGTACAGTGCAACTACAAGGTTTAGAAATACAATATGTAAGGTTTTGCATTGTACATATTTGTATTTGTACTCTTCCGAAACTGAGCCTTAAGATTTTTTGGAATCTTATGTTTCTGTTTTTAACTTCTGATGTTCTTTGATATTCAGGTTTTTGTACTTCGTCATCAACTTCAGATTTTTTCTATTGGAGGTTCCTTACCAGATCAACCTCCTATCCATTCTGCAGTGGATTTCTGTGTAAGCTCACGAGCAAAGACGACAGGTCTAGATTTATTGGGCCCAAAGCCTGGCACCGAAATCAACATAGGTTAGATTTTCTTTTATCTACTACACTTATTAGAAACCAAAAGGACTGAGGGAATTTTACTCTTTTTAGATGTTTTTAGCTTGTAAAGAGTTGTATTCAGGTCTTTCACTTGTAGACAGTTGCATTTGGATGCTGTGTGCAGTTGATGCAGTGGCTTGTAAAATTGCATTTGAGAGAGGGAAAGAACGCCACCTTTTCTTTCTAGCAATTTCTAGAGGAACATCTGGGTGGGTTCTCCTTGCAGAAGAGTTGCCCCTTAAGCAGAATTATGGAGTTATTCGTGTTGTGGCACCCTTAGCTGGCACTAATGTATGTAAAGTCATCTGATTTATTACTACAATTTCTAATTAATCTCTCTGGATTTCTTGCAGAAACATTACTATTGTCATGCTTTTCTTTTTTTTTTTTTTTCGGTAAAGCAGATAAAGAAAAATAGGTGTAAATCCTGACATTATCATTTTCATCTTCCTCTTAGCTCATTTCATGACTGCATACAGTAATTTTATATTTTTGGTGTCTGCGCACACACAAACACGGAGCAGGTTTTCTAGTCAGGTCATTTCATGGGTAGTCATGTGTTCACTTCAATTCAAGGTGTATCTGATCCTGAGGGATTCTATCCAGTGGGCAATTTTTCTATGCCCTAATTCCATGTGGAAGAGATAGATGTGAGTCGTCTACCTGATTGGGAAACCTTTTTCTTACATATATGATGATTTCTGGGTAGATTTGAGACTAAAATTGGAGGGTTGAATGTTTAATTGGATAGTATGAGCAGACATTGGGGTCTAAAGATCATTGAGCAGGGAAGGTTTTGGGTTTTGGTTGTCATATTGTCAGAGAGAGACAGAAGATGACTGAATTTTCTATATTGGCCTGGGGCAGCATTTAACTTTTAGTACGAGCAGCAGTAGAAATCACAAATATGCCTGAATTTTCCCCTTAGTAACCCCAGAAGGTCTCAGCTTCAGGTTTAGCTTCCAGTAGGAATCACAAATATGCCTTGGTTTTCTACAATGGTCACACTCATTCCTTGACATCTGTCTGTATATCCTTTTTTGAGGCTACTTTTTGCTTAGAAGGTGCTAGCGTAGTGTTCCATGCTGGAGCAGAGCTTCATAGCAACCCTTAGATTCTCCTCCCCCCTAAATACAAGAATACAATATCATGACCAAGTACCTGTCTTTGAGTCAAATCATACTTAGGGTTCAGCCTGGCAAGAAATGCAAACACCTAATTCCTTTTCTCTAGTTTGTTGAACCTTTCCTTATCAACCTCAGTATCTCACTCAAACAGTTTCTTTGTATCCCTCTCACAAGGCCTGGAGTGATGATTTTATTCACCTAAATTTCCATGGCAGTGGATATGAACAAAAAATTCCTACTGATTTATTGTTGCATGGAGATAACATGTAATGTGCTTAGACTCCTTTTAGAAATCCCAATTTACCCCTTCCACCAATGTACATCTTGACTGATTGATCCCATTGAACATAGTTCACCCAATCCAATTTCAAAATGGTGGCAAAATATTTGGAATGTCACTGTATCCAGTACTTGGAACCATAGTACTTGGAGTAGCATTACTAGACTGATGACCTGAATGTTTTCTTCTCTGGATCAGTCTCTGTTGTAGCACAATCAAATACTAAACACCATAATAATAAGAAAAACAGCACGAAAGGTTCCGATTGATGGAATCAAGAAAATCAAAAGGACAATGGAGAAGAGAACAAAGAATGGAGAGAGATAATGGGAGAAAGCTGTCTTGGGGTGTGTGTTGCCCCCTTTTGCTATTTATATAAAGGATTAATTACATATTTGAGAAATTACTTATATATACCCTGAACTTTTAAAAACAACTTATACAGACCTTATTGATCTTTCAAACATTAACTCCAACTGTTAAAACTTAAAGGAGCGAGTTGTCCTAAACTGTTGATTAAATTTTCAAAACATGCCATTCTCTCCTCTCTTTTTCTTTTTTTCTTCTTTTTCTCTTCTTTTCCTTCTTCCTCTCTATCTTTTTCTTCTCCCAAGAAAATGGTAAATCATAAAGACCCAGAGACTAGATGCATTCTTTTCAAATTGAAACATTGTTTTTGCAAATGGGAATTAATCTTTTCTTGCTTGTCTTTGTCACTTGCGAGAAAAGGGGAAGGGATGCATTTACCTTATGTTTTCCCCTGAATCTTTCGGTCAGGCCAAAAATTAAAATGATCAACAACAAGACAACCCCTTCCTGTTTGTATCAGCAGCATAACTCTACATACTAGAAGAGCCGAATAGTCTATTGACATCATGTAATATTGTAATAGGAAGGTCTGCTGAAAAAGAAGATCTAGCTTGATCTATCTTCTGTTATTCTAGGAAAAAAATGAATTTCAAGTTCAGCTCTTTGATTGATAGGGTATTCCAACAAACTCCAAGGTATTTTGTTAGGCTTCATTTAGATCACTTCTGGAAATAGAGGTAATTGAAATGAAACTTCTATTCCGTTGAGAATCTTGAAGAAGATTATATATATATATATATATATATATATAAACCAACTTTTGAAAAACACTAAAAAAATATAAAAGCTCATGGTTTTAAGTAGCGATACACCTCTGCCAATACACAGGTGTGTCGATACTTGAAGTTTCAGAACCGTGCTAAAAGTGCCTCTAACACTGTTCTCAATACTGGCTTAAGAAAAGAACAACATTCTGAATACGAGTCACACAGAACCAGCAAAACTCACCTCCCATTTCTGGGTTCTGAGTTCTTTTTTTTTTTTGTCATAGAATCTGGGGCAATATTGGTATTATGAAAGTATTTGGAATAAGGTTAACGGCTCTAAACAGTGCACTAACAGCGGTCCTGTTTATGTTATGTGGGGCCGGCCAATAAGGCATCTATAAGTTTTTGAAAGTTGAGGTATATGTAAGTAGTTTCTCAAATGTACATAAATACCCCTATAACCAGTATTTTATGATACTTAATGTTTTAAATTCCCCTTCAAGCTGTGCGTAGAGTATAATCATGACCAGCTTGCTTACATTACTATCAAACTTGGAATGAATAAGCCCTTTTAGCAAGCACACCTTCTAACTGATGCTCTGAAGACACAAATGGAAGACACAATATCAAAATAAGTATGATAGCCCATGTATGCCAGAGGCCTGTACACTGGGAATATACAAAATATATAAAGCCCTAGCCAAAAAACATCATCTCTTGATTCACTTCTGTTTTCAAAGATGCAGGCATTCCTTTCAGCCCAAATAGCCCATAAACAACAAAAGTGCTAGCCACCATAAAATAACTCCCCTCTTGCTTACGCCATTTTCTTCCAGCTATTGGTGAAATCCATTATGAACTCTGGAGAGCAACCAAAGTTGCCCGGCAAAACTGCAATGCAAAGTTACATGATTTACTGATTCCTCCGACCTGTTGCGCAGCATACACAGGCTGTTGTTCAATGCCATATCTCTTCTAAGGAGATAATCTTGTGGCTAGACATTTTTTGAGAGAGGCAGACCAAATAATGAAGGCTTTCTTAGAGGGACCTGTAGAGTTCCAAACTTTGGAGGCAGGGAAGTTTGTGGAACTGGATGTCATCAGACCTTTGTAAAAAGATTTCATAAAAAAGGCCCCAGCTTTTTCCCATTCTACATGCTCTAGAGTAGCTTTGGGCACTGCATATATTGTAATTTCTGCAACAATTCCAATACAGCCTCCAATTCCCAATCATTGGGGTGTCTTCTCGATCTGGATTCCAATTAACAGTGATAAAGACATGGAAGTGGCATTGGGTCAAAAGAAGTGCTAATTCCGTAGCTGATGCTTTAGCCATACAAGGGGTGGGGAGAGATGAACTTTTTCAACAGTCATAAGCAAAAAGAAAGAGTTTATGGGGGAGAAAAGAAGAGGTTTTATCTCAGTGACTATTCTGAATTTGTACCTACTGATTACTTTTCTCCATTAATAAAATTCAAGTTATTGATAAAAAAAGGGTAACAATGCCATTAATGATGTAATTTTCCACCATCAACTCCTTATTCTGCACAATGCTGTAGAATTGAGGGAATATGTGTTTCAATTGTCTTTCATCACACCAGACATCTGTCCAAAACCTTACTTTAGACCCATCACCTACACTATTGTTTGCCATTCATGAAATCAGCACCACAACCATAAGATTCAGTTGCTTCTACTGGATCCCAAATCCAGGTTTTTATGCCAAATTTTGAAGTAATCACCTTCTTCCAGAGGCACTCTCCAGGGGTCACTCTCTTCGATGATGTGTCTATCCACCTTGACAAATGTTGGTCCACTCATGCTAAATGGGATTACGTGCTTTGTTGATGGTAACCCAGTTATCACAATATGGCATTTTTCCAGGTTCATATTAAACTCCTCACTTGTCAAATAATTATAAAATCCAAAACATTTGTTGGTTCAATTGGTTTAGTGTTTATGTTAGTCTTACTTATGTTTTAAGTTCTTGAGCTTATTATGGGCCTTAGTTATTGGGCCTAAACTTGTTTAATGTTTTATTTGTCTAGGGGTCCCATCACTAATCAGGGGCATTCTAGTCCTTTCTTGTAACATTACATTGTGAATACTTATATAAGATTCTAGGGCCGGCTGAAGTGACTAAGCCGCCATTCTCGAATCTCCTTTTTTCTTCTTCTTCTTCTTCTTCTTCTTCTTCTTCTTCTTCTTCTTCTTCGGCTGCTGTTCTCCAGCAAACATGGTATCAGAGCACTAATCGGTCCGACTGGTTACAACTGCCTATTTTCTCCACTTCTCTATTCCTTCTTTTTTTCTCTCTCCTATCTCGGCCACTGTGAAGAAACCCTAGGGCTGACCGTAGAACACAGCAAGGTCTGTATCTAGGGTTTCTCTTGGTTGTAGGGCCCAAGGGGAGTTTGTTCCAGAAGATGATGCCCTACTAGAAATCTTGCAGCAGGTAGTAGCCATTCGGCTGCTAAGAGAGATCTGTGTGGAACAGATCTAGGTGGAAGGACTGAGTTAGACAGTCCTATTACAGATCGTAAGGGTGGTCACAGTCTAGGTTCGACCACCAGAGGTGCCAAAGAGGTATTGCCCTCGACTACAGCTATGACAACAGAAGTCAAAGCCCAGCCCAGAAGTGTCCAGTACACTACAGGGGTGGATTGTTCTTGGTTTCAGAACTGTTACAGAGGTGCTTCAGACCTGTTACGGGGTGTTCTCAGACTTGTAACAGCTTCGGTAAGTATGAAATCGTGTTCTTTGTACTGAGATTTCAGTTGTGATCACTATAAGAGGAAGGAGATGTCT